GTAATTTATAAGTAATGATGGTTTTATTTGATGAGTATAGTGGTCATATTTTCCAAATAAAAAATCAGGATACATGGAGTGACAATGCATTTTTGTGCACTTGTGGAGCTAAGAATTAGTTCGGGAGATACTGCTTCAACACCACTATTACAGAATATCTAGGAAGAATATTTTTCCATTGTTTTCCCTTAAAGTTTATTTAGGGAGGTAAATTTTATATACATTAAAAGAAGCCATTTTAGAGCACAACTCAACATGCTTTGCCAAACATATGTACTGGCTACATGACCATAGTCAAGATAAAGAATACTTCTGTTTCCTCCAAAAGTTCCCTCTTACTCCTGTGCAGTTACCCTGGTTGCTTCCACTCTTAACCCCAAGAAACCACAGATCTACTTTCTGTTATCATAATATTTTGAAACAGAACTCCTTTAGGCACATGTAACAGTGATGAAGATCAGTTCTGGAAATTGCTCAACAAAAATGATGTCCCCAGCAGTTTAAATGCAACTCTCGAAATCTGGTAGTAAATTTAAAAAACACTCAAGAAAATGCATATGATTCAATGTTCTTGATTGTGCATAATATTCTAAGACTATTGGAACCATTTAAATGAGAAATGTCAGAAGTAGTACTGAGCTCTAGCAGCACATTTTACACACATAAGACTTGGTTTCTGCATCTGGCTTTTAAAGTTCCATGGGACAAAGACTTAAAAGTCCAAAAACACTTTCAGGCCCACAAGAGGCAACTTTTTAAATTTTATTCAAATTGGCATCACACAGACCACAACAAATACTCAAAAACTACTGAGTAACTCATTCTTTAAGTTGTTTAGTTCTAAAAGATGGCATGGTAAACTATTCAAAGAATATAAAAATAATATCATCATACTGTATTACAGATAAAAAAAAAATCTAAGATACAAACAGGTTAAATGAGCTCAGAGGCATTCATACCAAAATTAGACTCTGAAAATGCCCAACTCAAAACTATTTACCTGTCCCATAGTGCTGGGGCAACTTATGATCATAGTTCATTTGAGCCCATATGTCTCATTTTATTCATTCTCCATACCCATATCATAAATATAGGAAAAGTGACTATAAACATAGTACTGCAATGAATCTAATTACATCTAAATTAAAAACAAAAATGGAAATTTGATGTAATTAATAGGTACAATTATACAGAATAAACACTTCAATTTAAAGTTTCAAATAGCCCTTAAAAGGAAAATTAAAATTAGCAGGTAACTTAAGCCTCTTTTTTCTTAGAAAAATTGTCTTAGCATATTACTAATTCACAAGGGTTATTATGAGGATTATAAGTATAAAGCACCTGGCAAACTATAAATATAAGTTCTTAATAAATATTACTATTATGCAAATTTTTACTTGAAATAGGAATTAAAAATTATTAGTCTAAGCTACAGAGTGGGTGGGATATGAAAATATAACACTTAGTTAACTATAAAATCAAAAAGTTACAGCATTAAAGATTGAAAAAGTGATCACAGTGAAGAATGTAAGGAAAAAAGGACCCCAAGGGGATCATTTAAAATGAGTAAATAGTGGATTTGGTATGGATTTGGGATTCAGAAAACCTTTACTGAATTTTTCCAAACAGATGCATTTCTTTCATGGTTGTGTGAATGAAAACATGCCTTCAGGCCTCCCT